AATCAGGCCACGCTTACCTGTAAAGCTTTGCTGTTCTGGGAATTTCCAGAAGCACTTAAGTACCAAATTTTTCCTAAGAAAGCTTTGAACTTGGGGGGTTGAGCATTGCTTTCAGGTACCTATCTATGTGCTTGGGTATCTACATATCACCAAGATTCCTGCCTGTGGAGGGATGACCTCATTGAATCACAACAGGTAAGTGGCATCACAACTGGTAACTACTTAAACAATCTCCCTGATGCCCCAAGCAGTAGAAGCCCTCTTGTGCTAGAGATGTCCCCTTTTGATTGCTTGGGACCATTCATAATCCCATGGCTTTTTTCACAAAATACATCAGCCTGCAATTTAATTGCAAGCCTAAGCTGCAGCACCAGCACAGCTGGTATTTGAAATGGTAGATGATGGTTTGGTGAGGCTGAGGGGAGAAGGGCAGGAGGGCTGGACCCCACTCAGGTGGCAATGGCAGCTCCTCCCCCACCAGTCAAGGATAACACAGCCTATGCCACATCTGTCCGGATTTCCTCCCTGTTGTGGTAAATTACTGTCATTATAAGCGAAGAAAAAACTTTTTTAAAGGGCAATGAATTAAGCAAAACCAAAGCCAGAACTTTTTTCAAAAACAAATTCCAACATTAATGCTTTGTAGCCTCCAATTCTTTTGTTTCTCTGGATTTGAGTCACTACATTAAGTCTTCATGTCAAGCAAAGCAATTGTTTGTGACCCTGGGAAAATGAGTGTACAGGCACTTTATGTTTTAATTAATGCTTTCCATGCTTTTCAGAGCAAGCTATCTGTGGTGTGGTGCTATAAATGCTGTACTCTGCTGGAGCTTACACCCCTGGTAGGACCAACCCTGAAAAAAGTATTTTCCCCCAGGGTAAGTAAAATTTTTCAACCCATAGTAGTATGTGGGATCTCATGCAGCAGGTTTGCACTTCATATTCATTAGCCAAGAGCTGAATGTGTTGGTTGTATGAGGAGAGGTTTTTTTCCTTAGACTTGTGTTCAAAGTAATGTGGTGGCCATACTGGTCATATTTACTTTCCTTCTGTGAAGCTACTTCACATTTCTGCAAAATGGAGACAGGCAGCCTTGGATCCAATTTACTTCACCCATGATCCTTCTTGTCACACTCATCAAAGAAGTCTCTTTTGTGCCAGGCTGACAGGTTTGCAGTCCTCCTGATCAATTTCTGTTCCTATGACCTGGTTGCCATTGCCAAGCTTGTGCTCTATTTATTTTGCTTAAAATTACTCATTCAGCTGTTAGGAGTATACATCTGTAGCTTGGACCTTCACAGATAGAGCCAATATAAGAGTTTGCATGCAATTGAACACCATGTTGATAGAGCAACAGTGTCTGCTGTCCATTCTCTATCAAACTTTCCACACTATCTGTTAATCCAGAAGAAGATCTTGGTGTTTTTCTATTTAATGTTTCCCTCTTCTGTTTTAAAAAAATTCTAGTAATTTTAGTAAATGATGGCATAATGACAGGTGGAAAACTATTCCAGTTAAGTCTACAGAGGTCCATGGGCAGATGGGTCATCATGGCTTATTCTGAAGGAATTCCTTAGAGGGTAAACAAACCAGCTTAAAACTAAGAAGAGATTTTTTACTTTTTTTCCCCTTTCAAATGCTGAAAGAAATACAGAGAGCTATGATAGAAAGCTGTATTTTAGACGTTAAATTATGCTAGTCCTTTATCATTTGTGCATATAAGATTTGTACATTTTATGCTAACCTGAAACATGGCTAACAGGTCAGAATAGATTGGATTTCTATCTTGAAAAGTGAAAATGTAAACCACTTAGGATAAAATAGCTTTTCTTTATATGAGTTGTAGGAGAAGCTCTGGTTGCAAGGCAGACCTTTTTTCCTTGTCCCTGTTCCCACACACCAGGTTTTCAGCCATTGTGCATCCCCATCACTGCTCCCCAGCCCACCACAGTGTCCTGGGCTGGCCTCTGAGGACTGCTGGGGACTGCAGACCCAGCCAGAGCAGTCTGTCCCCATCACACCTTTCCTGCATCACACTTTTTGCCCTGCAGCACCTCACACCTCTCACCCATGCAAGTGTCTCTAGGAGAAGCCTTAAAGGTCCAGATAGGATCCTATTAACCCTGCTTTGCTGACTGTCCCTAATTTCCCAGCATCTGTACCCTTGCTAGGCTTTGCCCTCTCCTCTTGGGGAATCTGCTCCCTCTCTACCCTCCTACCCTGTCTGATCTTCTTCAGATCCTGCTCCATTCAGGTTTTGTCTCCAGTTCCATAGTCTGGCATTGACTTCCATCCCCTGCTAATATTCCTGAATCAATAATTTTCTGCCTGAAAATAAACAATCCTTGATAAGCATTTGCTGAATTGAATAAGCAAGGTTTAGCAGATTATTTGATTTTTCACTAATTCCCTCAGTGTTCTCTAACTTTAAAGACCATGAAGAGGGGTTAAGGCTCACTCTGAAGATCAGGAGCCCTCCTTTTACCAGAACCTGCTGTCAGGTATAAAGTGCTCTGTCCCCTCCTCCACCCCACAACTTTGCACAGCCCCAGTGATGGGTGTAGGCTGAGCCCCATGGGAAAAATCTGCTTTTTGTCTGCTTTAATAATTGCTCCATGTCACTTCAGTCACCAAGCTGTAAAATTGCTTTTGTTATTTATGTTGTAAAAGCACTTTGACTGCAGCCTCAGCAGAGCTTTCTGTGCTAGACGGTTGTTGGTTTTTTCCTGCCTTTTTGCCTTTGTCTTGCAATTTATTGATTGAGGTCCTTACACAGGTGACTAAAATCCCAGCACTTCCCAGAACTACACAGAGCGTGGAAAAGTTTCATTTACCTGTTTCTCCAGACAAGAGATCAAAAATTGGCCTGTGTATTTATTTCTGAATATGGCAAATGTTTTGGTCATCTCAGTGTCATTTTGTCGTGAGCTACAAACCTCAAACCCCTGGACCAGCTGAGAGGAAACAAAGCACAGGCACTCCCTTCAGTGCCACTGCACAGAGCTGAGCTCCCACTTTGCTGATCCAGCTACAGATCCCAATTCCAAGATCTACTGGACTCTACAGACACAAATCACAACTTGTTCACAAAATAAGATCAATCAAACCTTTCCTTTGTAGTTACATATAGAATTGCTAAAGACAGAAGAACTGAGGTGATAGTGCTTTGATAACCTGTGCTGCCTGGCACGTGTCCTTTGGTCAGCAATGCTTTTCTTGTTGCAAACAATTTACATTCATATATCAAGGCTTCAATTTAAAACAGCATTTATCATACAGCAGCCTGAGTTCAACAGGAAAATTGCTGCTGCCTTTCCAGCTGTCAGTTGGATCACAAAAACGTCATCCTCCTTTCTACCAAACTCTCCCATGAGACTCTTTCAAAGCCTGAAGAGTGTCTTAAGAATTTTGATGGACAAGTAAAGCACTCGTGTAATTTCTTTCCAGATCACATATTTACCAAATATCATAGAGTCATATCTTTTTAGGATTAAGCATTTCAGTGCTTCTATCACAAATTATGAGTTTTTTCAGAAAAAAAGCAAAAAACCCATATACTTTCTACTATTAAATTTCACATTCTTGAGAGCAGGATAGCCACAAAAATTAAATTTTTTTCATTCATTGTTTAAAAGTCCTTTGACAGTTCAGGCTTCTCTATTGTGTTCTACCAGGGATGAAACATACCTGAAGGCCAAACTTAGATGCTAGGATTTTTTCAAAAACCCAGTGAGGTTTGTTTTTTTTTGTGTTTAGAATACTAAAATGTGTGACTGCAAGGGTGCTTACTACTTTGTTCTGCATGGGTAGCATTCATTACTGTCTTCCAGTTTTGGGGTTTATTATTTTTTTCATATGGCACATAGAGCCTCTCAGATCTCTCCAAGTCTATGCACTTAACCACCCAATAGGGATTCATATTTTTCTTTGGTTTGGGTCATGAATAAAATGGTCTTAGGAATGTAAAGCAGGCTCTGGCCATCCTTTGAGTATTGTCTTTTCTTTCAGATTTTAGGGCTATGCTCAGTAAATTACCTAACTATTACCTGCTCTTTCAAAAGTCCAGCAAAACTTAGTGCAGGGAATTTTAAAGTCCTTGGATTGAAGGAAAGACCTGAGCTAGAAGAAAATCAGTGTGGGGTTGTTAGGGTGAATAGAAAAACTACTGATGGTGAGAAAGCCAGGCCTTAGCTACCTTTAAGGTAGATTATTTGATATGTAAATTCTTCACTTGGCTGGGAAAGGCAAGGAGAGAGGAAAAAAATGCACTGGAAACTATTGTCAGTTATGGGTATAATGACAATTTGTTTTGACTGCATTTTTGTTTTTACCACTAAACTCTCCTGAAATTATGTCTTGCATGGTTTTCAATTTTTCAGGATTAGAAGGCGGCTTGTTCTTGTGAATGTCCTTAGTGCAAAAGCTTCTCTCACAAATCTCAGTGTTTCTCTCTTATAAGCATTTAATGGGCTTTTTGTATGCTTTTTGAAGTTGAGTGACCTTGTGCAACTCACAGTCTTCAAAGGAGTGTGAACTGATGGACAGTGAAAAGCCCCCATACTTTGGGGCTGTGACTTCATTTTGGAGGCCTGGTATTGCTGCAGTGAGTTGAACACAAACACCAATACTGAAGTCTCCCTCCCCTTGCCTTCTTCCTCATAAAGGAACAGCTGGGACTTCTGAAAAACCCAGCATCAGATATTAATTCACATTTGAGGAGTTTCATTTCAAATAATTCCATGAGCAGTGTTCCAGGATACTTTCTACCTTTCTGAGCTCCATCCATTTAACTTCTTCATTCTCAGCACTAATCCATGTGAACAGAGACCTTGCAGTCGTCTTGTTGCTCCAGTTGTTTCTACTTAATCAGTCATGAAAACCAGCCTTGGGGTAAAGTTTTCCACATTTCTCACCTTCTAAGCTTGAACTAGCTCTTTGTCATTTTACCTCCAACATTAACAAGGTTTCTACAGAGAAAGAAAGATTGAAACCAAAACAAAGCAGATAAACAAAGGACTGCACTAACCTACCTTGGAAAACAAAGAACAGCTGATGGACAAGGAAAAGCCACCAATGGTATAATTTTCCTCTGCTCCAAAAGAAATACTTGGGAGGTTGATCTCCAGAGACTTCATTTGCCCTGGCACTGAAAGAAAATAAAACCTCTAAATTCTATGAAAATACACTTGGAAACTCCATAATTATTCCCTACTCTATTTTTCCCCTGTGCAAACAGTTCTGGTTGCCAGCATACACTGCAGTAGAAATCATCTGACAGGTTGTAGGTGGTGGGGTGGGATTTCACAAGAGTCAATGGCTCCGTTAAGTTGAAGTCGGTGTTATTAAAGCGACTTTTCCATGCCTTTAGGCACTCTGGCCCTGCTTCCTCTTGCTGCTTTTCAAAATACAAATCTGCCTGTAAATCCATGTTGAGTTTGATTATTTTTGCTGGTTTTGCTGCTTCTTTTTTGTTTGTGTGGGTTTTTTTGGTTTTGGGTCTTTTTATCAACTGCACAGGTTGAAGATTATGTCACTGCTACTGATAATCTAATCTTCTGGACTGGAATCTTTGAAAGACCTTGGGTGTGCAGACTCTTAAGGCTGAACTTTGACCTTGCAGTGTTTCAATCCACTGCTAAGGCTCACTTAAACAGAGCCTCCACCTGTAGCTTACACTCCCTTGTTGGCAGTAGACTCCTTCATGAAGCCGCAGTACTTTAAAGTGCTTAAAGACTTTAAAGAAAACAGCAAGTTTTGTTGGCAGATACAACAAATATCCCATAAAAAAAAAGGAAAATAAGATCTATCTCTGATTTGTCACTATCTATGGAATAAGAGCTCTTAAATCCCCTCTTCCTTGTCACTATGCAAGCTTCCCAGTCATAGAGAGTAAATGCCTTATAAAGACTGAAGTAAATTTGAGTAAAATGTGTTGTATATAAGCAGGGGTAGATCCCCAAAACTAATTGAAATTACATAAATTTGTATTTTTTAATAAATAATTGTTCCTTATCCTGTTATTTAGTTATGGATAAGCAGCACCAAGATGCTCCGTGATATTCTCAAAACTCCAGAGTGAAGGTATCCTTCTTTTAGCTCAGTATTTTCTTCCTCTTAGCCACTCACATAAGATTATTCATTGAATTGCCTGTTATTCATCATACCCAATATGAATTTCCAAATCTCCTCTGACCAGGCTAACTCTGGTTTAGCATGTTGTGGGGAGTGGGGGGTGGCTGACTGCTATCACAGCTTTTTAAATGCAAATATGCAAATGACCTTCAGTTTGTCCTCCTTCAAATGCCTCTAAGCATAGCATGAATTTCCCCCAATATTAGACTGCTAATACCACCACTTTCTCCAAATCTCTAATTAGTATTTGCTTCTGTGTTGATGCCTGCTGGAATTAATTGATATTTGTTAGATGCTGAAGGGCAGGAACATATGGTGCCACCTTGTGTGCTGTGCTGATCTATATGAAATCCTGCTGCTGTGACTGCTGAGTCAGTTCTTTCCTGTTCTCAGCAATAGCAGTAGCTTCAGGACTGACAAGTAGAGAAGGTGAAAGCATTTAACCCATCATCTGAGCAATGTGGCTGCAGCTGCACTGGAAAATAGTAGTAGAAAGATATTGGTAGTGAGAAACCCTCAGTGTTAAATATCTGATTTTCAGACTGCACCCAACTCAGGAAGGCTGCTTTGAACTAGGCTGATTCTGGTCCCCTGGGATGAACTCAAATATGCAGATGAAATACATTGATGTATTTATGGAACACCTTTTTTTTTAAAAAAAAAAATTGTTTATTTTTTGACCAGAAGAAAAGCAGCAGCTGTGCTCCAAGGCTGCATTGTGATGCCCACCAAGCATTTGCTAATCTCTACCAAGGTTTTCAAAGTGTATCCTGGCTATGAGTTACTGGGGCCTCTCCCAGGAAGCATGTCTGAGTGCTGCACAGGAGCCCAGCTCGAGGATACATTATCCTGGTTTCTGTATTTTGAAGAGCTAGAAGAGGGTACCAGTGGCTTTATGTAGAAGGCTGACATTGTCTGACACTGTATCTGGGCAGTGAGATGTGAGGAAAAAAGCCACGGAGTTCAGAGGCAGGAGGGGCTTCCAGAACCGCTGGAATTTTTATTCCTGCCTCATGACAGCTAAACAAAGTCTGAGCTGCTCGAGCTCTTGTTCTTCGTGTCTGACAGGGGCCAGGTGCCACTTCTGCATTGCAGTGACCCACAGCACAGCTCTGCTCCCCAGCAGTCTGCCACAGAGAGCAGGGCACACATCCCTCCTCAGGAAGCTTTGCCCTTGCCCTGCTGCATCTCCCAGGCAGGGATGCTGTGCATCATTAGGCAAATGTTATTTCTTAGAAAACAAGGGCTGGATTATAAATTTACTGATGTGCTGCTGCAAGATTAAGGGATCAGGTTTTGTACTGCAATTGCTGTGGGTGTCTGTTTAGTTTGTTTGTTTGTGTTTTGCTGGTGTTTTTCAGTTTGGCTTTTTTTTCCTAAATCATCTTATTCAGGAACCAGTGTTAGTAGTATATGTATTACTGGCTTCCTTCAGAATAAATAAACTGAAAATACACTGAAAAGCCCTAAAAGAAAACAGGAGAAAACCAAGTGTGCAACCAAAGAGAAAACCAAGTGTGCAACCAAACCTAAATGTAAAACTAACTCCCCTTTGCAAGACAAGGTGGTTGCTGGGAATTAGATGTGCTGAAGATCTAAGCGGGCCATAGCTTTTGGCATTGATTTGGTCCAGCTTGCTCCCAGCTCTTCAGCACATGATAGTACCAGGGAATTAGTGCAGAGCTGGTAGGGGCAATCTAGCTTTGTCATTCCTAAACCATTCAGCTTAATCCCTGCCTAGAGAGAACACATGCATTGAATAAAACTTTATTGGTTTAAAGTTGACCAGTCTATTAAGGGTTGGTTTGGGGTATTTTGTTGGGTTTTTTTGTTTTGTTTTTTTTGGTTTTTTTCTGTTTGCTTGATTTTTGTTGTTTTTTGTTTGTTTTTAATTTTTTTAAAAAATTATTTATGGACTTAACTACATACTAATTGAAAATTATATCCACATTTTTCTCAGCTGAGGTAAACCACAAATTTGCTACATTTACAGACAGGGGAAGGTGCTGTTAAGGCAAACATTCAATTTCCTGCTGAGAGGCTGTGAATCATAGCTCACAAAGCAATACACACTGAGTTTTTATTCTATTGTAAAAATACTGGGGTGAATTTGTTGCCTGGAAGAAATGAAATGCAGTGAGATAGTGCAAAATGCCTTAATTTGTTGCTTGCTGACATAATGTGTTTTGGACAGCTTTCCATTATATTACCCTAAACAGCTGGACATTGAAGTTGATTGGATTTTTCAAATTTTCATAATTAATATAGTGGGTCTTTTTCTGATGGAATGGTATTTCTAGCACAGCAAAGAGATATTTTGTTTCCCTTGTTTCACTCTCATTTATCTTCACATCTCTCTCACTGACTTTTTATTTCAGCACCTTTTGCTTTTCACGGGTCTTTAGTTCCATTAAACATCCAGCGCTAATTAGACTCTGTTGTCTAGACTGTACCAAACACTTCACTCAAAATCAAAGAGCATTTAATTAGTTAGTCTACAGGTTACACCCTATCTTGCAACATTAACACAAATGAACAGTTGAAATGCTTGTTACAGCCTAGCAAAAATGCAAAAAAAGCTTTTTTAACGGCAATCAAGATTTTAATTTTGTTATTGATGAAGGCAGGCATGACAAGTCCCTGCTACTCAGATGAGTGTCAGGCTGTTTGTGTGGAGGGAAGGCAGGGAAGCAGTATTGCTTACTTCTATCTTTTCCCAGGAACAGCTACACAGACAGAGCCCCTCGTCTGTGCTGAGCACTCAGGGGGTCGAGCCAGAAGTGGGGTGAAGCCACACGATGACATTGGCTTAGCACAGCCTGCCACAGCCATGGGCAGGATCCACCAGAGTCTCACTCCTGCAGTTATTTGGAATCTCTGGATATTTATTCTGGCATTCACATGGGATGCACTGAAGTCAGAAGCAATGGGTAATATAGTCATATCTTACTGTTTGCAGTGACTACTGTAATAAATAGAATGTTAACTGTATCCTGGGCTGCTTCAAGAGGTTGAGGTGATTCTGCCTCTCTACTCTGCTTTGCTGAGATGCCACCTGCACTGCTGGCAGTGCAAAGTTTACTAAAACTCAAAGTCACCACAGCAAGTGATTTTGTGAAAGTCTTGTCTTGCTTTAAGAAAAAAAACGGAAAGAAAAGGAACTCCTCCACACTTTAAGCTGCCCCTGCAAAAAAACAGCTGTCATGAAAAATCATATGAATGACATTAAATACCAGACATAGTTCATGATCTCTGAATATTCTGGATTGAAAATACAATGGTTGCTACAGTGGCAACTAATACTAAGCACTTCACTGAAGATATTAAATCTCGAGTAATTATTTTTCAACTGCTCAAAACTACAAATTATTTGTGGTCTGTGCAGTGGTCTGAGTGTTACATTGAAAAAATGGAGATGGCTAAACAGAGGCAAAAACTTGATATGGAAGTGCTTTAAATCTGTATGATCTCTGGAATACTTGGAGAAAAATATCTGCTGAAGTGAATGAACAATTCTTCTCAAAGCAGTACAGGGTAGTAACCAGCAATGTTTTCCAGGCACGCTTTACCCCTCCTTCCTTCTCTCCTCATTAACAACCATCTAGCAGCATTCAAAGAGGAAATTACTTCAGGTTCAGAGTCTGCCTCTATTTTGCAAGATATTTAAGGGTCTGTTGAAGTCAAACTCACCAAATGAGTTTTTTTCTTGCAGATGGATCTACGTAAGTCATCTTTTCAAAGAAAACTTGTGCTGAAATATGCAGAACTGCTCAAGATGTACTTGAGATAATTTGCTGACAGCATTGGTTAGGCAGCACAATCTACAAGAGCCAGTTGTGCAACTAAGAAGGAAAATAAAATAAAAATAATAAACTGATGGGCTGCCCCCTTAAAAACTTGAAAAAATATTTTTGATAGAGAAAATAACAGAAGCAAAACAGAATTAGATTTGTAATGCTTAACTCACTTTAGTGATCTTCAGAATGCTACACTTCAGTCACTTGCTTTGGTTCACTAGCATTGCTATTAACAGAGGCTGATGCATTTGTGTTGTTCCTATTGCAAAGTATAAAAATTATATTGGTATTACCAGTTTCTAAATATTATTATCATTTTTACAGTGCACTACTGCCAAGAATGATTGCTGCAAGACCTCTCTCTTGTTTATTCTAGCAGTAAAAATCTGATGAAATAAGGAAGTTTTAACATTTTTCCTCATGAAATTAAAATCTTCAAAATTAAGTGCACTGACAAAAAACAGCACATATTCCTACTCACTGTGTTCATTTTTTTGTTTGTTTTTGCTGTAATAAGATCTTGCTGCAGCAAACTTTTAATATAATTACACTAAATTCAGATAGGGAGGGACCAAATATATAGCTGCACTCTCTTCATGGTGATTTCCAATGGATGTGCAATGCCATGAGTATGGGGTGTCTGCCACTCCTTCAGGGGAAGGCAGGTAAATAAAGTAAAATTTCCTTCTTTATATTTATTTTAGTACATAAAGCAGCATGTGTGAGAAGCAGCTGTGATATGTCAACGGAGAAATATGTCTTTAAACAGCCATCAGAATTAGCACTTTAGAGGCCACTTTAGGTCTTTGACTGATGACTGCAGCAATGTTTTAGAGGTGTTACACCTCAGGGGAATTGCAGAGACTGCTGGAACATAGGTCACATTAGAAATACTAAAAGAGAGGCATTGAATGTTTGAATGTTTTCAGTTTGCATTGTAAGAAGACACATTTTTTTTATTTGCACTTCAGGCAGGGGCAAAATGAAGATATGGTGTTCTATCTTTACTTTTTGGAGCTCTGAAAGCCCCCAACATCAGTGGTCTGGCATCCATAAACACTATTCCTAGCTGTACACCTCACTTAGGAGTAACCCATTACTCAGATTTAGTTTATTCTGGAAGTTCAATTAAGTCCTCTAGCATAGCAAAGATGTATCTACATGCTTTGTACAAAGTGCCCTCAAAATTTTACTCAAGTTTTTAAAATTAAATTAATTATGTATTACAATTTATATTCATGAATGTTAAAGTTGAATTACTAGGCAGAACTCAGAGACATATATATCCCACTTCTACACTTTTCTTTGATCTCATTGATACAATCTTCCATTTTGTATTCCTTATCTAATTCACAAAAGTCTTTAGCCTCTCTCTTGCTCTTACTTCAAAAATATGCCACTTCTGATGATCCCTCCTACAATTACAGTAGACAGGTGGTGGGTAGCTCAGCATAGCAGTGACTAAGGGAGAAAATATCCATGAAATAGGGACTTTAGAGTTTAAAATGTTGATTTCAAAAGATTGAAAACATCCAAAGAGGACTATCTTTTTCTGAAAGTAAAAGAGATAATTTGTGTGAAATGGGATTTTGTTGAAAGCTTGTAACACAAAACCCATGAACTTCACTGAAGGTAGGGCCTTTTGCCTGGGCTGGAGCTGATGAAGCTTCCTTTGGTTTGATTTTTGTGGCTGTAAGAGAGGTGAGTTTTTATTGTAAACAGACAGAATATCCACAACATTATCTTACTGCTAATAGAAAGGTAGGCTACAGATTGGCTCATAACCCTATTGACTGGCATCCTAAGAAAGAGGATTGGCTTTTTATATTTTCTGGAAAAAGGAAAAATTATTCATTACAGCACATCTCCTCAGGATACTTCTGACACTTCAGCTGACCAGCCTGAATCAATGATAGTTTCTTAAGGCTAAGACTGGCCAGGGACAAAGATGCGTTAATCTTCTATCTGGTCTTCAACTGGGCTGGAATGAAAGAGGAATTGCCCTAATATTTGATTAATTCATAAGCTAATTATGTTAGCTTTAGATCAAACCTTGACTCTTAATTCCAAATCAGAGTCTTGAACTTTGAGGACATGATTTGACCTGTCTCAACTCATTAGCAGGCTTGCAGAGGTTTGTTAGATGCAAAGGTGGTGTGCTTTGTGACATACTTTGGACATCTGTTCTTTCAAACCTCTGAATTGCGGTTTTGGTTGGCATCAGCAGTAGCTGTCTTCCAGCCAGTGTGACTGCTGTTCTTACCATAAGTTACTAAGATAACTAACTACTCTGGTAAGAGGCTGTGACACAGCTGGAGAATTTACCTGCAGATAATCTGGGAGCACAGAAATGTCCCTGGTCCACCAACTTCAAAACCAGAGCTATAGACTTAAAACTGTGTCTTCTGAATGTCACAACCTGAAATGACAAGAAGAATCAGGATCCTCACAAATGCCAAGGTGTTGTCAATAAGGCTGTTTCTGAGTTTGGTTTGACCCATGTCTAGATTAGAGTTGGTGTCCCAGCTTGGATCAGCTCACATGTGCAGCCCCTTTCCACTTCTACAACACTCCTATATTGCATACTCAGTTGAAGTGGGTGAGATGTGAAAGTCTGCAGATGCCTGGAAGGAAAGAAAACATTCTCCATCCCCCTACCAACACTTACAGGGTTAAAAAGCATCAGTGGTTTGCACATATGGTATTTTTTAAATTTTTAAGTTATTTGCTTTATAACTTGTTTTTCTCTTGTCTTCTCCCACCAGAGGTGCAGTGGTTAACTTGCAGATCCATCTTTCTTTCTGCAGCCAAGGTCTCTACCCCTCAGCAGTCTTCCCAGATTCATTTCAAATATAAACTGATAATTAAAGATAGATGTTGGTTCACTCTAATGAAAGTGTTTGTATATTAATGGAAACTGCATATATGCTATCGAGAAATGAAGACCCAGTAATACAAAGACTAAAAAACTTCTGTTGAGCTGCTATCTGTTGAAAAAAGAATTAAAATCCAAGACATAAAAAATATAAAATGGATGTGTTCTCTGGAGATAAAACCCATCATCTTGATTTTGTATCTACAGAAAAACTCCAGGTTCTTTTAGCTGTCATGACTCAGAGGAACAGAAAACCCAAGTTACTTCTTTGTTTTTCTTACTCACATTTCTAATTATACTGTTTTATCAACTTTAGCAGAAATATGTGTGGTGTAAATTAACTCCTATGACTGTGAGAACTCTTGTTTGGTAATTCCCTGACCTTAATATATTCTGCTAGCCTTGTATTTATCCATCTAAGCAGTTAAAACCCCACAGATGCACCAGCTGTGTCTCCTTGTGTCAGGAAGATCCCAGGTATCAGTTGCAGGAAGGCTGGAATCAACACTGACTTAATGAAGAGCTGCTGCCGTGGCAGTTAGTGGAAGCAAGGAGGGTGTGATGGGTAGGGCTTTTGTGATGTGTGATCGACTCCTGACATATCAAGGAATGTCAGAATTAGTCCCAGACAGGAAAAAAAAGACCATACAAAAGGCAGGAGCTGAGATGCAGCGCTGTCTTTTGGGACACCTAGTTGAATGACTGACAAAAATCTATTATGGAGAGAGGGGTGAGCATGACTAAAAGGTCTCACAGCATTTATTTTGACAGGATGATTAATTTCTCATTACTCATCCAGGATAGGGATATCTGGGGGGAATTAGGGAAATATTTGATTCTTTCAAACATTGATTATTTGGAGAAAAGCTTTTGCATAAATCCAAACACTTTATCCTGTCTTTGTTTTGAAATAGCATAGCATAGACTTTCTAATTTTTTGGTGGAGTCTCAGCAGTATCAGGACTCTTTATTTCAAAGCCAGGAGCCAACTCCTTAGCTGTTTCAGATGGTCTAACATACATGGCCCATGTTTTCATGCCAGCTGCTTCCTTCTCTTCCTCCAGGACTTACGATCCTGCTGATGTGATGGATTCAGGTCCATAAGAGGATAAATCTGCTTCACTCCAGTAATTTTTACCTGATAGCTACCTGGATAATAATCTTACCTTCTTCCTGTGAGGAAGCACTTCATGTTCAATGACCCTCAAGAAACAGAATAAGTATTTGCCTCTTTGCTCTTGTTGATTTCTACCTTGCATGGCTCCTGCTTTAAGACCTTGTATTTGAAGTGCCAGAAGGAAGTTCTGTGCGTTTATAGCATCTACAGTAGCTGAGCTCAAGAGAGAAAGGCAAAGCTAGGATGGTGCTTTCACCCTTCACAAAAGCCATACTTAGTAATGGCCACACTGAATCAGATATGAAGCCACTCTAGCTCGGTATTTTGTCTAGGTAGCAGGTGCCAAGTGAAAAATAAATACACGAACAGGGAGAACATTACAAGGAAATTTTCCCACTTAACTATTTTTGTTGGAGGTGTAGGGGGAAAGAATTAGATCTTGAGACAGCAAGAGAAGCAGAAAACTGAAAGTGAGAAGTGTGAACAAAAAGGCTATTCAGAAGGGATGTTGTAAAGGAAAAGAGGAGGAATTGTGGAAATAAGAGATGGTGAAATAACACAGTACATGAGGCAGAGAGAACTGCAGAAAATTTCTTGGGATAACTGATGTGTAGAAAGGATGGAAGAATGGAGCAGTTGGAGAAAGAGCCCATGGAATAAGGGAACCTGAACACATCAGCAGGTAAGAGGAACAGCCAGTCTCTACTATCGGCTATGTACGTAACAGAAAAAAGTTTAAGAACACAGTTGCAATGAATATCTAATTAATAGAGTCTGGGTTTTGAGCAATTCTGAAAATCTGATTTTTTTCTATATTCCCATAAATATGGGCCTTTGCATATAAATTGCTGAAGAGAGCCAGAGTAAAATCAAACTAGGGAGAAACTAGTACCTGTTTGCTATAGGGCAGCTTTGATGAAGCTCTGTAGGATGAATGGGGGATGCTGCTCTGGGAGCACACGGGAGACTCAGCTGGTCTGAACTGAATGGCAGGGGTTTTTCCCTGGTATCCACCAGGGCCAGGATACTACCTTGAGATCTTAGGACACCAGAGGACCCTTTTGGAAGGGAGAGAATATTTTCTGGAAGGTTGAAGGGTTCTCGCCTTTCCTGGAATGGGCTTTCTCTTCCACAAGAATTACAGCTGTCAATCACAGCTAGTGCATCAAGTATTAGTGCAAGTTGCACAGGCTAATTAGAAATGATGGATTCATTTCTTCCCATTTTATTAAATCCTTTTCTTCTCTTTGGTTTCCTGGAAACCTGGTGCTTGATGTTTGTGGATTTTCACAATGTATTTGTTTAAGGCATGTGACTACACTGACTGTGAGTTCAATTTTGTTAAGCATTAGCTAATGCTTTAAATTAAATTTCTCACTGGAAAAAAAAAATCCAACTTAAAAGCCTCATAAAGATTGTTGTTTCATGATTCATGCAGGTGTCTTATGAAGAAGCTCTTCTTGATGAAGATGAGTAAGTGGAACTTCATTGAAAAAAGGAAACAGAAATAAATGACCAAGAGAACAAAGCTTTAAGCTCTTTCTTCATTTTGATTTCTGGACAATATCACATGCATTGGATCACTAGACTGTAAATTGTGAGGGTGTAAATTAGTTTTCTATCCACTGTGCTGATATTCAGCTGGTATTTGTAGGGATTTCCACAACTTATGGAGTAGTAAGAAGGTAACTTAGTAATAATTTAGGATTTCTTCTTATATTTATCTACAATGAATAGCTCACTTAAAGAGCATTCAGTGTGAAGCAAAATGCTTTGAGTTTGCGTAAAATTCAACCATGCACACACCATTTCAGCATTACCTTCTGGCTCAAAGCTAGTAGCAATGACAGTAGGTCAGTGGTTTATGTTTATAAAGACAAACCCACCGTGAATTATTATGAAAATAGGTGTCTGTCAGCAGCTGGTAAAATAGTGACAGAATTTTTGTTTTCGTTTAGGGTAATTTTGTTTTCTTTCAGGATAGAGTCTTTGTTACAAAAGGCCATGAAGGTAAAACTTTTGCAAGTCCATTTACCTTCTCATAGACTGTGACATCAAAATTAAAGTGTTCAAAGTTGACTGGTTAATGGAGAATTTGCTAGTCTGTGGAAGAAGTTGGGCTCTTATACTTTTTCTTTCTGTTACTAAGGAAAAAAGGGATAATTTTTAGATTGAATTTTTGTAACAGAACTTGTTCTGATGAAAACAGTAGCTTTGATTTGGATATTTATTCCCATTTCTATTCAGTTTCTTTATCTATCTCATTAAAAAGAGAACTGGAATGAATGCCTGTAAACTTTTATGGGAAAGGAGACTCACAGTAAATAAAGTAGCTGTTCTGTTTCAAATGTACTCTCAAATCCAAATTAATTTTATGTTTACAGCAACAACAAAAAAGGATATTTCATCAGCAAATCCCTTCACATTCCGTGTTGTATAGTCTCAGTGAGCATTAAGTTATTATAAACATAGCGAGTAAATTTAGAGCGGGGTCATGTTTTTGTATATTTTAAAGTTTTCTTTATAATTAAAACATTGCTTTGTTTATATAAAATTCTAAGTGATAAATCTGTTTTGTAAACAGTTCTATTTTTACATTTAAATTATATTAAATTCCTGATTGCTATGTTCTCATCAGTCTTCTTTTTTTGTTTGTCTTTTCTGTGATAAACCTTTTACTTACCTCACAAACATCATGTTTTCAAGTTTTTGTCTGCTGACAGAATATGAGAAGAGGCTAGGAGAACTTGGTTTGTTTATCTTGCAGTTGAAAAGGCAAAGGGAACCACACTGCAGTCTTTCATTGCCTGTGGGGAAAGCCATGGAGAAGACAGAGCCAAACCATTCATAGGAATGCTCAGCAAAAGGACATGAGATAAAGGTCACATTTGCTTTGACCAGACAAGAGGAAGAAATTCTTCACAGTGAGAGTAGGTCAGTGCTGGAAGAGACCACCCAGAAAGAACCTCCTGGGGAACCTCCATCCCTGCGGATTTTCAGAAGTCAACGGGCCAAACCCATCTGCAACCTGATCGGAGTTTGCAATTAGGTCTTTGAGTAGGGTATGGGACTGGGTGACTTCCACGGGTCCTTTCCAATCTAAATTTTCCTAATCTTTTATGAAAGAGTACTTTAAATAATGGTCATCTGATTTTTTAATGAGGAAAAGTCAGTCTCCAGAATACTTAACAGATATTACTTTCCATTACAGTTAGTAATGGGAATTGAGTTAGCTGTGGGAATTGACATGATGTATTCCAGTTTTCAAAGTTCTGAGTTTATTTCTCTGCAGAGCTTACATGGGAAAATCTTTAGATGCCGAGTTATGTTGCCATATTTTTTTTTAGAATCAACAGTTTGGGTAACACATTAGATACATTCAAACCTTCTCTCAATCATTGTTACTTCCCTCTGGACTCTTTGCCAATGTATACCACGTACAGTCAAACAATTGCAACATTTTACCCACAAGTATAAACAGCTCTATTTACCTGAACTAATAGCCCGGTTCTGCAAACATTTGCCATTGTGTATGAGTAGTTTTAGTGAATTATTCACCTTGTGCCCTTGTGGAAACCCTAGAAAAATATTTGTGAGTCTGGTTCTGTCCCTTTAAAAAAAGCACAGAAATATTAGCTTCCACTCATTCATTACACATGATTCTTTGCAACATAATCATGGGGTACTCACTCTGTGTGTAAATCTGATTTTCCTTTTCTACCTGAACACCTCCACAAATAATCCTGATGGAATTGTATTCATTTCAGTCTTCCTCACATTCATCCATTATGTGAATACTCAGTTCTAAGTGTTTGTCCTCTTGTCTGTTTTTTTCAGACATCAAATATGTGAGTGCATGATTCAAAACACTGAACAGTATTCAGGTATCCAGAGCAAATGCCCATATTCCTTCTTTAATGTGTCAAAAATCAAATAAATCTTGAAGGTAGAAACAAATAAACAACTCTTAAGTGTTCCTGAATAATATTACTGCACTTAATAAAAAGCACATAGAGGAGTTTTTCAAACTGAGTTTGCTGTTACCAATTAAAACATGCCTCCATTTTCTGCTCTGACACTTTTGGACTTTCTTTCTTCTTTACTACTGAATTACCTTCCCAACATATTGACTACCCTCCCCCATTTTGTGTTGTCTAGGAACTCCCTGAGTATGTATTTCACCAATGGCACTGGGAGCATCAATGAAGATTGTTTTTATTGTTGTTTATTTTTGTATTTCAAAGTCACATGAAACCTTACTATATTTGCTGACATGTGACTTAAATTTTGTGAAACCAAAATCAGTGTGAAACAACCACATAGTTGCACAATGTTGTAACCTTGCCATCCTCCTCAGTCCCATGGAAGTGCATCGCTTCTGCTGTCCCATCAGAAGGGTCTTACCCTTTCACCAAGCACATCCAAATCATAACATTTGTAATATCTTAAAAGCTTTTCAAGACCCTTCCAAAATGCACACATAAAAATTACATTAGTCAGTATTTATTGTCAATAAGACTGATGAATAGGGCCTGCACCAGTCAGGTTTTCCTGCCTCTCATACCATCAGTTCCAGCTCCAGATCACAGAACCTCCTTGCTAATTTTTCCGGTGCTGTCAGTCTTTCACCAGGTCTGTGAAGAGAAGATAATTGCTGCTTCAATCTGTCTCTGCGCTGTGAAGAGAGTTTGACATATCATGTGGTCTGGAAGGAAAATAAGATTAAGGGAAGAAAAAAAAAAAAAAAAAAGGATGGAAGGAGATTTTTAAAAGGAGTCAGATGCTCTTCCTCCCTTTCTCCCTCTTTAGCAGACGAACCTGTGATTCCTAGGCTTTATACCCAGAGGCTGCATTTTAGCCACAGGTAAGTAGCAAACCTTTCCGTAACACCTTGCAGTGCAATGCTTTCTGTGACAACGCCGCTGTGCTGCGCAATCCTGTGGCGACCTCCATGAAGCCTGGGGACAAATGTGCGCCTAACTCTGCTCAAGAAAGTCCTCCAGGAAACCCATTACGAGTAAAGCCCCCCGCCGCATTACAAAAGGGAGCGTGTAAAGGTGCCTCCGGCACCCCTGTGCTGTCTCCAGCTCCCCCCAGCCCGCGTGGGCAGGGATCTCCGCGGGAGAACAAGTTCGCAGCAGTTTAAAATGAGAATGGCCGGGGTTCCCCTCAGCCCGTGGGGCGGCCGAGGGGAGCGGGGCGGCGGTAGGGCCGGGCTGGCGGCGCTTCCCTCAGCGGCCCGGCGGGGGCGCTGCGAGCC